TAAATGCCTGTAATAGAAAAGAAGAAAGACTCAAGTAATGATAAGCTTCCACCTTAAGAAAGTAGAAAAAGAAGCATAAATTATGCACTGTGTCTTTTCTTACAAGGGCACCAAACCTCTCATGAGGGCCCCACTCTCATGACCTCATCTAACCCTAATTACCTCTCCCATCTCCAGATAGCATCTCATTAGAGGTTAGAGCTTTACCATATGAATTCTGAGGGGACAACAAACATTCAGACCATAAATGGAATAACTAGAATTTACATACATTGCTTGTAGAAATGAAGAATAATACAGCCACTAGAATACAGTATGGCAGTACCTTATAAAGCTAAAACTATGCTTATTATATGAATCAGAAATTCCACTGGTAGATATTTACCCAAAAGAATAGAAAATATATGTCTTCTCAAGGATATATATGTGAATGTTCATAGTGACATTATTCAAACTGAAACCCAAATGTGCGTCACCTGGTGAATAAGTAAACACACTGTGATATATCCATATTTTGGAACACTATTAAGCAATAAAAGAGCATGAATTACTAATAGGCTTATAACATGGATGAATTTCAAAAGCATGCTAAAGACAAGAAAGTCAAACACAAAAGACTACACATGTATGATTCTATTTATACAAAATTTTTAAAAAGGCAAAACTGTAGTGATAGATCAGAGGGTAAGATTGGAGAGAGGAAATCAAGTGCAAAGGGCATAAGGGCATTTTTCAAGGTGAGGAAAATTCTATCTGTTGATTGTGGTATTAGTATAAGACTATACAACTACCAAAATTCATCAAACTATACTTGCGATGGCTGAATTTGACTATATAAAAATAATACTCTAGTGAAAAAAGAGGGAAAATGAAATAATAAAGTTTATAAAATGTAGTGAAAGTAAAATGTATTTTGAAATTACCACATAAAATGAGTTCATGTTTTCATGTTTTACTGTACCATGCCATCACACAACTATTTTAGCTTTAGGATTTCTGTCACATGTTGTGTAAGTAATTACTTGTTTTCATCCTATCTCAGATATGTAAGGATGAGGAACAATATGTTGTGTATGTGTATGTATGTGTGTGTATGTATACACAAACATATATATAAATGAATTAGTGAGATGATATATTTTATAGTTTACTATTAATACTTTAAAATTTTGGGCTCATACAGAACATTTTAACATCTTTCTAGAGGTCTATATATATCTATGATTACCTCTAAATTAAATTTATATTCATCAATTGAATCATCACCCAAGGACGCAACTACCTGGCTTTTCATGATTTAACAGTCAACTGTCTCTTCTCATTTATGTTCTTGGGGTATTTATATGTGCTTTGACTTTGATGTAGTAAAGCGAATTCTATACTGTGAAATGTTTACTGAGGCTAATAAAAAGTTTTCTTCATTTTTGAGGATTTGGGCTGTCTCTAATTTGTGTTAGAAAAATAAATTTAAAACAGTCTACATTATTATGCTTATACATAAGTATGATGCAGTACACTATCTTTAAGTATCAGAAATCATAAGTTTTATAACTAAAAATAATAACTTATGGGAAAAAGATACTGGTGAGCTCTCTCCTAATTAATTTATGAGATTGACAGATGCTAGTGTGACCTGTAAATGCAAATGTGTGAAATAGTTCTCTTGTTCCCTTAAGGGCTAAGGTTTGACTTGATGTTTTGAAATTTTTAAATGTAGTTTGGAGACCTTCCGAAGACTAAGTATCTGAATGAAAACTCAATGGATACTTAACTTGAGTTAATATGAAGGTATAACATATGAAAGATTATCTCCGAAGTGATGGTAGCATATGCCTTTCTTTTTCTTTTTCAGCTGGAATCAACAGGACTAGGCCTTAGTAGTAGTAGACTAAGAACAACTCTTAACAGAATACAAGAAAGCCTTATCGATATGGTGAGTAATCATTTGGAATTAATTCTTTGGGGTTATATTAAATAAAAATTAACCATCCAATCAACTACATATAAATGTGTGTCTGTATATATATTGAGTGCCTGAGTCCTCAGTATTGCTCTACATGCTTGTAGGAAGTAAATAGAGGTTTCTTATAGTCTGATTGGAAAGAGAAAACTGATCCTCATGAAAGAGTATAATATTGGCTATATATCCAGTACAGGTCCAAAGGGAGGAAAGTTTTATGTGGAAACTTGATTTCAGAGAATGGCTAAAGGAAGAAGTGAGAGTTCTAGTCTTTGAAGAGCAGGCAAGGGGTTAGTGGGAAAAAAGAAAGAATGGCATTCCAATTAAGGTTCAGAAGCTGAGAACAGGCCTCGAGGTGGGAGCAAGCCTGGCCCAAAGTTTGGCCATCTTTGTGATTGGGATACTGATATATACTGAAGAGTTGTGTTGCAGGGAGTATTTAGAGCCACTTGAAATTCAAGGAAGAGGCTTGGGTGTAGTTGGCTATGCAGTATGGGGTCTGGATTCTTGACTGTTGGGTCACTTGATGTAATGTGTATCTTAAGAAAATAGATTAGGCAGCAATATAGGGCTGAGCATTTGTAGTGTTTAAAGTAACCTCGGCATTTAAAATAACAATTTTTTTTTCTTGTGATGGGTCACTGTAGCCAGAGATTTTTGTTGTTCGCCACATTTCTCTGCATCTACATTAATCTCAGGATCCTCTGATTTTTCTTTATTTCTTCACCTACCCAAACAAGCAGTCATTTTCCTCTTTTCTCATAAGCTCTGTGCTATGTACATACTTCTGCTATTGAAGTTTTTAGTAAAGCAATGTAATCATTCATTCTTTTAGGAAATACTCATTGTAATTATTATTTGTTGGGCATGGTTGTAGTGCTAGATATTCATCACTGCACAGTAGAGGTACTTCTGTCTGGGAACTTATGTTTTATTGAGGCAGACAGATAAACAAATATGTAATATAGTATCAGATACTGAGAAATGCTAAGAAGAAAATGAAGCACAGTGGTAAGAATGGTGATCTTTGAGCAGAGATGTGAATAAAACGAGAGAGGTATGTGCTCATATCTCAGATGAGCACTGTTTACACAGAGGAAATCACCTATATCCATCTCCCTTATAATTTGGAGATCTTCTTGCTCAGCACATATATATTTTCATAACACTTAGCTCTGCAAACTATACACTTTTTCAGTAAATGTTCATAGAATAAGTGAATAAACTCCAGTCCATGAGTTTCTTGTCTCCTGGCTTAATCTGGCTTTTGTTCTTGGCTTTGTTATCCATTTAATCCTGATCTTCATTTTCAGAGTCCAGGCTCCTTATTTGACCCAGCCATTTATTTATTTTTTTGTTTTGGTTTTACAAAATCCATTGGCTTCCAACCCCATTAGAAGGTATCTGTGTTTCAGTTTTGCTTCTCTTGGTTTGACACTTAGTACAACCTTGACCATCAATCAGATCTTGTTTTCCAGATCTTAGTCCACAGCTAAAGTTTTTCTTGTTTCTGGTTGAAAGCCTTGAAATTGATGAACTGAATAGTCATAACCAGAAAGTCCAGAGTGGGGTGCAGTTACCTCTAGAACTCATTGCTCTTAATCCAGTCTGGGCTTCATGACAGTTGTAGTGATGGATTCCTATTATTATTTTCCTAGTAAAATAATAATAATAATAATAATAATAATACAGTTTTTTGAAAAAAAGCTTGACAGGTCAAAATTTACCACTAGAGTCATTTGTTCTGACATCTCTGTCCTGTTAGTTACTAGTTTATGATTGTCAAACTGCAGTTCCAATTTTTAGTCTTAAAGAGTGGATTTGATGCTTCAGATTTTGCCTTATGGTGTGTAATGAAGTATTATCGAGTAAACAGTGGGACCGAACTAGCTATTCTTTGAGACAAGCTGCCACCCATCTATTGATAACAATGTATCTGTAGCATGTCTGACCAGTTCTGTGTTCATTGGATAAATTTTTTCCAGAACTGGTAGTCAACTTTAGAAATGTATTTTCAAAAACCACATGCCCCCTCCCTAGTAAATGGTTAGATAGATGTGCCTGCTTTTTTCTTTGGCACTTCATCTTTTAAAGATATCTTTTCTTTAAGTCCTTACCCTTGCCATCTCTTAAATCAGATAGCATCTTGGCTCAGAAGACCATGTGAGTAGTCATTGCTTCTTCAGTTTGTAAGTAGTGCTGACTGTTTTTTGACAGGGCCTCTCCAGGGTCCTTACTCCTCCTCCAGTAATACAGAAGTTTTTCCCGAATTTTCTGTTGGTTTCCAGTGTTTTACATGTTAAATTATTATTCATACTGATAAGAATTGGTTTATTATTTTAGAAAATATATTTGTCATTTTCTAGACCTTGATCTCAGGTTTTCATATGCTGGTATATTACTTTTTCTTCACTTCATTAATTTGCATCTACATTGGCAGAGAACATTAATTGGTTTCTTGCTATTCAATACATTCTTTGGCTATTAAAATAATTTATAGCCTAATCAATCTGGAACCACTAGATGGAAGTTGTATTTTTTTTCCTGTATTTCCCCTATGTGTTAGTTAAAATTTTAATGAGCACATTTCTGGTAATTTTTCCATTTTCTCCATATATATCTTCTAAGTTTTCCTTCTCTTTAAGCTGTAAAAGGCAACTTGGAATCATTATGGTCTTAAAAATGCCACCTTAAAGCATTTAT